TGCTCAGGAGAGAAGACCGATGTGGAGGAGAGACCTGAAAATCCTGTCTTATGATGAGCTAATTGGCTAGTATGTATAGATTTGCTGTTTAAAAGTGTTAACAGGATTCTTGGAGAGGGGCCATATGTGGGAAGAGGCTCTTAGATTTCGATCAGCCCCTTTTAAATGACCTGCTTTGTTCTATACAGAATGTTGGATGTTGCTCAGGAGAGAAGACCGATGTGGAGGAGAGACCTGAAAATCCTGTCTTATGATGAGCTAATTGGCTAGTATGTATAGATTTGCTGTTTAAAAGTGTTAACAGGATTCTTGGAGAGGGGCCATATGTGGGAAGAGGCTCTTAGATTTCGATCAGCCCCTTTTAAATGACCTGCTTTGTTCTATACAGAATGTTGGATGTATTAGTATACACCTCTCCATTCTATTTAATTAGCTTTTAAACTGGCTTTTTTACACTGGATCTTGCTCAGGTTTTGTATGCCAGGTTTGGTGAGTGATGGAATTAGAAGGTGCTACAGATCTTAGTATAAGGAATTCTTTCGAGGGTGCTCATTTTCACTCTAGGGGTGCATCTAGTCAGCCCCCTTCTGTCAGAATAAGATACACAATTGCATAGCTTATTCTGAGTCTAGGTCGAAAGAACTTACTTTGAAATTTGGCGCCGCATAGATTCTCATCTCATAGCATGATTCTCATCGGATAGCGTGAATCCAGACACAGAGGCTGTGTCTAGACTGGCATGATTTTGCGGAAATACTTTTAACAGAAAAGTTTTTCCTTTAAAAGTATTTCCGCAAAAGCGCGTCTAGACTGGCACGGATGCTTTTTTTTTTGCACAAAAGCCATGGCCAGTCTAGACGCGACTTTGCGCAAGAAAGCCCCAATCGCCATTTTAGCCATCGGGGCTTTTTTGCGCAAAACAGTTCTTCCCTGCCTACACTGGCCCTCTTGGGAAAGTATTCTTGCGCAAGAGGGCTTTTTCCCGAGCGGGAGCATGAAAGTATTTGCGCAAGAAGCACTGATTTTGTACATTACAAAGTCAGTGTTCTTGCACAAATTCAAGCGGCCAGTGTAGACAGCCGGCAAGTTTTTGCGCAAAAGCAACTGCTTTTGCACAAAATCTTGCCATTTTACACGCACCCAGAGAGTCTTGTGATCAAATAAAAAACATTCGCAATGCTGATATTGTTACAGTGTGAACGCTCACACGCTTCCCTCTGCCCCCACACAGATCTGCAGGTCCTAAGTGGGTGCAGAGAGACTACTATGGACTCTCTACCTTGGGATGAATTTCAGGGGTGAACAGATCATGAGTGCCCCCTTCTCACCTGGGCTTTGAGGATCAGTGCTTCCTCTCAGCTTTTTCACCTCCTGGGCTGGTGTGGTGAGAGCTCCCTCTACAAAAGAGATGGGAAACCCAGAGCCTTGGGTTCCCCACCCCTTCTCTACAATTTCTATCTACTTTTTAACCACTGCCAATAGGTATTTACAAATCACATAGTCCAACCATGGATACCAGTGTCAAATCCACATTTTTTGATTCTTCGCTATGGGCTTAATCCAATGCCTAAACTAACAGAAGCTTTTCCATTGATTTTAATGGGCTTTGGATCAGGCCCGAAGTTTGCTATTGTTGTTTTCTTCTTTTCTCCTTTTATTGTTTTAGACACTAAATTAGACAGCTTCCAACATCAAAAGGGCAAAAAAACAGCCCCTCTGACACATGGCGAGCAGTGAACTGACTTACCTGAAATCTGTGGAAGTCTGCTGGTTTGAAGTCATTAGGAGAGCAGCCACACCAATCAACAATGTGCTTGTACTGACATTTGCAGCCCAGTTTACGGTTCCAGTTAGTAATGCGCAAATTATTGTCCACCATGGAGTCACAGTGAGGGCTATTTTCCAGGACAGTATGAAAGAAGGACTGCAAGAAAACAACAGTTCAGTATATTCAGCTCCTCAGACTTCTGTTTTCATCTTGGCTTTCAGCTCAGAAAGCCAGTCTACTGGCCTGAACCTTGGGCGACCTGGATTATTCCTCTTTAGAAGTCAGAGGATACCCACTTACTCTTGTAGCTTTGCCTTGGTACCTTCAATATAGGCTAGAGAGTATAGCCCCCTGTGGACACAGCCAAACAGTAATAATGTCTCGGGTGAAGCCATGCTCCAAAAGACTAACCGGTCGCAGGCGTTATAGCTCTTTAGAATGGAATGACTGAGCCTGAGACAGAAAGGTACCGATCTCATTACCTTGCTATTTATTTAAATTGTCTGAGAAATTCCAGCTCCAAGGGATCCCCATTATTTTGTCTTCTGAAGTCACCCTGTGGTCTACTACACTTAGAACTGTTTTTCTTAGAGACATACTGATGATCAATTGCAAAGCATTTTCTATGATGACTCTCAGACTGTATATCCTCCACTATTGTTACTGATGGAAAAATAAACAGCCAGGTAGTCAATTCTTCAGTTCGTCTGTCTACCTCCGAGACCAAGGATTACTTGTAATCCGCTGCTAGCTGGGTGACCGCATACTGAAAAGTAACACTCACCCCACTACAAAAAGGATATCCCGTCTCCTGCAATTATTTCTGACATTTTAAGTCTTTATTTGCTGATTCAGAGAATGAAGCAATTCCTATTGGGTTCTTCTAATTATATCATCATAATTTCAGCTATTACATAAATCATATGTAATGGGAACTGAATGTAGCAGGTTAACAGGTCAACAAAGGCAGAATGATTTTGGGAAGCTTCATATAGACCTAACGTAAGAAAACCTTATGGAGGGCAGCAGTGCAACACAATCAAATTTAGCTCTGCAAAAGATGATTTTTAGGAGCAGTGACTTGTCTTTAAAAATGACTATAGCAAGATCTATAAATACATGGCATAGCATTAGCATGGCTGACCCCCAAGTAATCCCCCTACCCTTTTTAATGTTAAATGACAGCCCAGTGAATATGGATTTTACGCTTGAATTGTCTGGTTAAACCCATAAAGGCATACATTCTCAGTCAGGCGAGGAAAAAAACCTACTACCCAATTACTCATTGCCCTATGTCCTTTTATAATGATACAGAAATTCTCTGCAAGATAATGGATGAAAAGGTTATCAGAGCTGAGAAAAGGAGTGAATTTTAGCAGAAATAGGATTAAAGGGAGATTATTTAACGTGTGTGGAATAATAAACCCCATCAAATTATGAGAACCACTGTGCTCAGCTGAATGATAAAAAGTCTATATTTGCAAGACTGGTCTCATCAATCCACCAAAGCCCCGTGCTACCATGGAGGAAGGCTGATATCATTATAAAAGAGACATTAGACACCCTTCTCAGAGGTACTTGGGAAACACACAGCACATTAATACCTTGGAGAAAGAGTCTGACAAGCTATGAGAGTAGTCTGCCTGGCATGGCAGGTGTAGAACAGCCTGTGAAAATGTCAGTGTGCGTGCTCTATTTGAAGATAATGCATGCCCTGCTGACAAACTGCTACATGTTAGATTGAAACAAGTTCTAGTCTGTACTCCCTTCTGCATCACTTACAGCTGGAGTGATTTCTGAGTGATTTAGATTATTTGTGACTGTGCCTTCCAGCTGAGTTTTGAATTGAACAATAAATCTTTGTTTGCAGATCTTTGATTTTAACATACTTGTTTTTTTAATAAAAGGGATGGATGTGATTAGGAAAGCTACTTATAGATATGGGTCTCCCTCTTTATTAGCATTTTGAAGTCTTTATAGAAGGATGTTTGTAAGCAAAGGAAGCTTGAAGTTTTGGTTAATTTATAATAGTTTTACTGGTTCAAAATATGAACAACCAACCAAAGGGGGGAAAAAGCAGTTGAAACATATAAAGACTTAATCATCATAAAATTACTTTCTATTGAGCATACATGGGGCCTGGTCCAAAGCCCACTGAAGTCAACACAGAGACTCCCAATGACTTCAGTGATCTTTAGGTCAGCTTTGAAGAGTGAGGCTTCTGTAAATCCACACACCTTAGCAGGAAGCAAAGTATATGAATAGAACCTCTTCATCTTTGTCACCAGATCATCACTGGAAAAGGTGACATACTCCACAAACTTCCTATTCAGTAGGAACCAGTCTGATCCTCCATCCAGAGTGATTCCTTCTGGGATTTTCCGATCTCCAAGACGCCACATGTGTGTATCACATTCTAGGAAAAGCCTGTCCAGGCCTTGTTTTCTAATAAACCTAGGAAGAAGAAAAGGAAAAGTCAATTGCTGTTTTCTTATCACTACAACTCAAAATAAAGAAGCTATTAAAGACAAATGGAAAAAAATTGTTATGATTTCTATGACTTCCATTTATAAATAGTTTATAAAAGGTTAATACACACTTTAATAAATAATGAACCAGTTTTTATACATTGTTAGAAAGTCTAAAGGTCAATCAGTGGCTTATGAAGACTTAAACACTTTCTGCTCATATCATTATAAATATCCACTCCTCACTCTACTCATCTGTAATATGTTTATAACGTTTATTAACCCTTTACAAACAAAACTGCAACATAAAGTATCACTAAGAAAAACTAGGCATTTATATTTAAAATGTAATTGATTCCTGCTTTTAAAGAAGTCAGATAATTACTTTTGAGAGAACTTTTCAGAAAATGAACATTATTTTCTTGCTGAATTATTGTACATTTCTATCAAAGGCACATGAAATCAGAAGTAAAACTTTATTGATCTTTGTTATAGAGCAAGTATATCCCTTCTCTCCAGCACTTTCAAGTCTAGAGTAAATGACACTGGGCATCTTGTTGCTGACCCAAAAGAATTGAAATGTTACTGACACTGATTAACTCCCATACAGCAACAGAAATAGACTTGGAAAAAATCAAGCTATGTTTGAAAGTAGACTAGAGTGCACACTCACAAGTAGTTTTGTGACTGTCTGAAGTAGGTATCTATTTGTTTTTCCATTTTCAGAATTACTTCCCAGAAAGCAGAACATGTGAAACATAAATTAGCTGATCCTGTAATGTAATGTAATGTCAGGAAAGGTACTGCCTTCCAGGGATGATGCTAGGGATGTAAGCGACTAGTCGACTACCCGATAATCATAAGCTTATTGGATAGCTGAGTAGTGACTCATCTAGTCACTTGTCGTTCCCCTCCCCTCTGCTGCCTCTATCAGAGAGAGGCAGCAAGAAGGAGTAGGAGCTAGTTCCCCCCAGCACTGTATCCAGGGTGCCGTCTGCACTATCTCTGTGGGGACGCACGGACAGGGCTGCAGTGGGGAAATGGTGCAAGCAGGGAATGAAGCAGGCCCTTGCTTGCACAGGTTCCCACTGCAGCTACTACAGCCTTTGAGATGGCTCCCTATCCCCCCGCTGGCCCCGTGCTCCCTGCTGCACCCTCCCCCTTGCTGCTTCTGGGGCACAGCGGGATAGGGAGCTGGTGCTGTGGTGAGCTAGCTGGCTTAAAGGCCAGTTCACCCCAGCGCTGTCTTGGGGGGAAGGTGGGTGCTGGCTCCCCCCTTTCTGCCTCTTATCAGGGGCTGTGGGGGTGGGACAGGGGAGACTGCTGTGAAGCAGCCACTGTCTATGGGGGTCCCAGTGGGGGGCTTCTGTTCATGGCAGGTAGGGCTGGCCTTAGGCAGGTGCTGCGAGCTGGGGCTGCTGGACTGGGCGTGAGCTGGGACCCAGCAGTCCTGGCTCATGCTGATCACTGCACCTCTGCATTTTGGGGAGGGTGGGGCTTGAGCCCTTGACCTTTAGTTCCGGAGATGGGTACCTTAACCACTGTGCACTGGAGGTGCCCCCCAGCCTCCTACATTCTGGGCTCCCTTATCCTTCCTTTGTTCAGAGGGTTTCAGGCCCAGCCATCACCAAGCTGGTGGTGGCTATTCCCAGGGGGCAGGGCTCAAATCCTCAACCTCTGGCTCCGGAGACGTCTCTTACTACATTTAAATGCAGAGCCACAGTGCCAGCGGTTTCCAGAGTCCATACAAGCTGACACTGCTCAGTCCCAGCTTGAGCTGGCTTCTGGAACTACCCCTGCAGCAGCTCTGCGGAGCAGACCTATTGACTAATCATATAGTAGATGCAAATTGTATCAACTATACCAGGCTTGGGCAAAATACAGCATGGGGGCTGAATAAGGCCCACCAAGCCACCGGATCCGGCCCACAGAGGCAGTGGGGAACCCCAGGCAGGCTTCCCAGCTTGCCCTTCAGCCCCATGCGCGACACAGACCCCGGCTGCAGGGCTCCACTTCTGTTTTAAAACTGGAGGGGAGGAGGGAAGTTTTAGGAGCCTCCCAGCCCCCAGCACAATCCCATTGTCCGGTTTCTGGCAGAAACCAGCCAATGGGAGCTGCTTGTTGGAGTAACAGGCAGCCAAGAAGAACCACAGCTCCTCTCCTGGGTTCAGTTATTCCTGAAGTACATGGCCACGCAAGCAGGCTGGCTGGGAAACATTTCAAGTCTGTAGGCAGGCAGGCTAGTTTGGCAGCTGGCAAGTAAGTCTCTTGGCCACAGCTTGCTTCTGGCACCCCAGCCCTTTCCTGCCCCAACTCTCTGCCCCTTCCCCCACTCAACATACCCAAACCCTCTGTCCCCCTCTTACACCCAGACCTGGCACTCCAGTATCCTGACCCAGATCACAATCTCCTCCTACCTTAGGTCACATCCCAAACCCCTGCACTCCAGTCCCGTCCTAGGTCACAACTGCCTCCTTCACCCAAACTCCCTCCCATACTTCAGACTCCCTTCTGTACCCCAGTCCTTTACCCCAAGCTCCCTTCTGCACCCATCCTCCATCCCAGACCCCGTGTCTACTCCATTAATATCACGGAAGAGTGCGGCCCTTGACCACTTTCCAAAATCTTGGAATGTCCCCCACCCATCAAAAATTATTGCCCACCCCTGAACTACACAATTAGCCTGATAACCGAATTGTAACATCCTCAGATGATGCAGCCCTCTCCTTTCAGTACTGAAGGCTGCCGGTATATTTTGAGATATAATCAATATTGCCCATCTGGCTCATCTATACCAAACAAATGTCATCAGGTACAAGTCAGAGCCAATACAACCCACTGGATTTAAGAGCTGCAGGCTAACTTGAGTTGTTTTGCCACTAGCAAAAGAGCAGTGTTTTATTTGTCAAATCCCTTGGTTTTGTAGAACCCTTTAATTATCTATTACTTTTTACAAGGAAACATTTAAAATATAGATCATTTGCTATAACATTCAGAAATAATTAAAACATGAAGAAGCATTTCTTCACATTTCCGTCACAAGTACACAACCTTAAAAAAAAAAAATTAATAGAACAAAAAACTTCATGAACTATCAGATCTCCTGGAACCTGGGGCTACGTCTATACCGCACATTATTGCGCAAGAAGATATGCAAATGAGGTGCAGGGATGACTATCGCGGCACCTCATTTGCCTACCTAATGAGCCACCATTTTGGCGGAAGGGAGTTTTGTGTAAGAAGGAGCTGTCTACACTGCTCCTTCTTGCACAAAAAACCCCTCTTGCGCAGGAGCCGTTCTGCCACTTATTTTCAGAAGTGTAGACAGCTCCTTCTTGCGCAAAACCCCCTTCCGCAAAAATGGCATCTCATTAGGTATGCAAATGAGGCATGACGATATTCACCCATGCCTCATTTGCATATCTTCTTGCGCAACAATGCGCAGTATAGACGTAGCCTTGATGTTTTGCCCATCAGCAAGCTAACTCCTTGTTTAGGGCTTCCTTCTAGAACTAATGAAGAAATCAAGGCAGAATTATAACTTGATTGTTTCTTGTATCTAATTACAAAATGCAGGGTAAAAGGAGTCTAAATCTCATTCATTTTAGAGTCTAATATCTACCTTTCTAGTCCTAGAAAAGAAGCTAGAAACTTAAAAAAGCTATATTGTTTCATCTGATGAAGTGGGCTATGCCCATGAAAGCTCATGATACCGTCTACGTTTTTTGTTAGTCCCTATGGTGCTGCAGGATATTCTGTTTTTTAAGTGATAACATAAAGTTAAATTACTGTGAAGTTTCAGAAAAGAGTTGAGAATTTTTTCTTTCCATTAACGAGTTTCTAATTTCATGTTCCATTATGAAGGATAATGGAAAAGTCTTGCAATTTTAATGCAGTCCTCTGGAAAGTAATCTTCAAATCCAATATTTATGCACTTATCTGCAAATCAAATATTAACATGCCTGAAAGTTTGGTCATTTATTTACTTTTGTCAAAAAATAAGCAGCTGGAAATGACCATTTAGGTTAATTAATTCAAATAAACAGTGTGATGTTATTGATCATATTGAAGAGGGATATAGAGTCCTTTCCTGTGAGTTTCTCTCAATTGCTGATTGCATCAACTTATCAAATTTTGTCATTATTATTAAAAAAGAAGCTTCCTTAGTTGTGAACTGCCCTTTACTACTCTCAAAACAAAAAAAGTTTTAGCATACACAGAAAATTATGGAGTTGTTGGAAGCATGCAGTATTTTCATGGTAAATCCCAACCACAAAGTCCTATAGAAGAAAACTATCAGAAACCAAACCAATTGAGTATTTAATTGTTAGTACTCTACTGAGAAACATAGCCTACTCTGGCAGGGGTAGCAGGGGGAACGACCTGGATTACCCAATAGACAATTCCTTTGCTGTATATGTAAACTTTAGCTAAAATAATATAACAGCTTGAAGACTGCAATATTAAGACAAGGAATAAAATAGTTTTTACCAAGATGGTTGCCTGTTTGACGTATATAAATTCATACTCCCTATTTAAATTTACACTTCCTATTTTTTTTTACTTGATATAATTTACATTGTACCATATTCATGCAACAACAATCTGTTAATAAGATTCAATGGCAAATCCTCTTGGATTACCTTTGCTACAATGATTTGTAGACTGGACAAAAGTCACAGTACACTTACACTTGCACACAAAGAGACTTAGCCAGCCTTCAAACAAACTATGTTCAGAAAACAAATTATACAAAAAATATTAGGATTCATTCATGGCTTGCCTGAATTCAGTGGGAGCTTTCCTACTTCAGAGGCCTCAATTTCACACTTGGATCTAAAAATGTAAATGTCATTCTTTTAGTCTTGTTTTGTTAAGCTCCTACAGATTGTACTACTGCACCAACCTCACTCCATACTCAACTTCGGAAGAAGAGTGGTTAATGCACAGACAATGTATATACCTGTCATCTCCTTTGTCTTCTGC